TTTTTCCCTTGTCAGTTTCTCTTTATCGCATCTCGTTCGGGGACGTGAGACGGCGGCAGGGTCGCGTGGAGTGTGTTGTATTTGCGGGGTGCCTGAAGTGCAATTGCAAACTGGTTTTGAAACTACGCTGGAGCCGCGCCCGACGTTGTTTTACTTAAAGCGCGGTGTCGTGGGTGTAGCAGGCACCCAAGAGCCTAGCTCAGTGAGTACGCCCCTGAACTGCTGAAGCGTAGACCAAGGCGAATCCGGTACGAATCCGGGCCGGGTACGTGTACGGGATGCCGAAGAAAAAAAAAAAAAAAGGATGACACCCGTTGGGAGAGCTGCGGGGCATTGCCCCGGCTAGATCCTCGGGGCATTCTGGTGGAGGCTCGCAGCGATACTGACGTGCAAATCATTCGTCGGACTTTGGGTATAGGGGCAAAAACTAATCGAACCGTCTAATACCTGGTTCCATCCGAAGGGCCCTCAGGCCGGCTGGCTGTCGAGCGGGCGCTGACCGGTGCAAAGTCCTTCGGGACATCCGTTAAAATTGGAACGATACAGAGAAGATTAGCATGGCCCCTGCGCAAGGCTGGCGCCCATAAGTCCCAGAACGAAGGCCAGGTGCGTGCACTAAGACAAGGCTACACTATGGTCGGACAGATCATGAGAAGTCGGGGGGGGGGGCGGCGCCGCCAAGGCTTGGGTCCCTCGGGACATCTGTTAAGGCTGGGATGATGCCGAAGGGATCGGCGCGGCCCTGCGCAAAAATGGCACGTATAGAGTGTGAGCAAAAATTCCTCCCCGACATTCTTTTCCTTTTTTTATTGCTCGACTTCATTGGCTTGCCCGCAGGTATGCTCCGCGGGCTGATGCGCTATCCTAATTACCGACCGAAAGGAGTGACGAAGAAGGGGGGGGGATGGACCTAGACACGAATTTGCACCAAGTACACGTGCAGTGAAAAGGGAATCGGGCATGACGGAGCAATGAAGGAGCGAGGGGGAGGAAGAGCTTGTTCTCCCGTTCCTTCGCGGAACTAGGTAGGAGAAGACTTGGAGTTGGGGGTTTGGTATCGGGCGAGTGTAGTGGTGGAGCTAGATCTGGCAAGGGATTAGTGGAATGGGAGATAGGACCGAAAATGAGTGCGCGGGCTATGACGAGGAGTGAAAAAGAAAAAGGAGGAAAGACGAGTATCTCGCTCGCTTCTGAGTGAAAACGAGCGAGGGAGAATTCGATTCGGGGGTTTGAGGTAGGGCGAGTTTAGTGGTGATGTTAGTTTAGACGTTAGATTAGTAAAACTGGAGTTAGTGTGAAAAAGACATGTGCCGGGATATGGCGGAGAGGAAGGTGAACGGGAGAGAAGATTAGTCTGATCACTCAATTCTTGGCTGTTTTTAGCAAGTGAAGATGCGATTTTAAGGTTTTAGGGGCGGACGACCTCGATTATGAGGTTAGTTTCGAGAGTAGAGGAGTGTGCGGGGAGGTAGAGGGAAGATGTGGTGCGTGAAGGTTATCAGGAGTGAGTTATGGCAGAAAGCAGAAGTTGAGATTTTCGCTCGATTCTTTAGCGAAATCGAGTCGGAAAGGAAGCTAGATTGAGGTTTCTATGTGGGGTGAAATCCGATTTGAGGTCGGATTTAGCAAAAGGTTAGTATAGAAAGAGTTAGTACAAAAAAAAAAGGGGGGGGCTGCGCGAAGGGAAAAGAAAGTGAAAAAACGTTAATGAACCTGTTCGCGATCTAGCGGAAGGTTCATTCCCACATAGCAGGGGCGAAGTGCCCGTTACTGAAGGACGTTTTTTTTCTTGTCAGGTTTGATTTCGTCACAGTCCACCCCCCCGGTTGGTCGCTGTCATAAGCCAGCCATGTCGTCCTTGTGACTTCAAGATCCACTCTTCAGTCATGCTTCGGGCTGCTTAGTTCGGGATATCTGTGTTGCCTGTGAGTGTTGGGAGGGGGCTCATAGGAGTGACTTCCTGGCTCAGTGGGTGGTGGGGGCCGACAGTCTGCAGGGGTGGAGACTTACCTGTCGGTCGGTGCGGCGCTCGTCCCAGCGGCTGAAGGGCCAAGAAAGAGTGAGGGAGAGGGGCGAACCCATCCGGGATTCAGCAGAAGATTCACCCCGCTTCACACGGTCGGAGCCTCCGCTGCCGCAGTTGCTACAATCGCTCCACCAAGTCTTTGGCCTGGCCACACTGAGGTCTGGGCCACTCTCCCCA